GTGGCAGGCCAGCGTGGCCAGCGTCAGGATGGCAGCCTGGCAGCCTCTGAAGCAGTGCTGGGGTCAGCCCTTGTTTCTCACGGCCTGGGGACACGTCCATCTGTCTCTGTGGGAGGGCACATGTGTACATGTGAAAGCACAAAATGTGTGCAAGCCTTCTAGAATAACAGGCTTAGGCTGTGGGAGTTCCGAGAAGAAGTAGAGGATATGAACTCGGGCACAAGCAGCCCCATGACATTCCAGAAGCCAGGGATATGTAAAACACCCCTAGCCAAGAAACACTTGGTGGGGGAAGAGGGCTGGCCTGCTGGCCCTTGTTACGGTCGTGTGAACATGACTATGCACTCACATATGTGTGCGTGCTCTGTAGAATGCAGACGTGTGGAGTGACATGTGCACATGTGTGTGCATATGTATGTTACACAAACGCATGCACATTTTGTTCACACGAGTGTGTGCTTGTGCACATGCGTGTACCCCGTATACCTGCAGGTGTGTCTATAACCTGTATGTGTGCAATAAGAGGATACTTCAAACTAGTGCTTTAGTGCGACCTTCGGCTGTGCTGTGCTCCATACTGCCACAGGACTCTCTGCAACAATCTCACGTTCACTCCCCAAAAGTCCATTCGGAAGGTGCCAGGCACTCCCCCCGAGGCCCTCAAATAGGTGTCAGGGATGCAATGGTGGGACATCATCCGCTGACTCCTCTACACGTGAGCAGGAAACTGAACCACACACAGTTGGAAGCCAAGGTGAGATGCACACTCAGACATGTTGATACAGGATGCGGGAGTCACAAGTTGTGACTTAACAACACAATGCCTGACCCAACAGGAAATTTCATCTGTGCAGAGTATTTTTGAAATCCATGTATATATTTTTTTCTAATATGCATTTTCCATGTGCTTTTTAGAGATTCCCCCACCACACACACACACCTACACATGTGTGGATTTTAGAATTCTTTGCACCAAAGATAACCTGTGTTGTTACTCAGTTTTCCATGAACATTTTGGAGGATTTGCCAGCAATTTCACACTGGGCATCACTAGAGAAGTTATTGAAGAACCTAGATGTTTTCTGCTTTTGTGATTCTGCCTTAATTGCTTGGCTGGGGGCTGTGTGAACTCCAGGCCAGACAGTCTATGTGACACCTGGCAGGACACCTGGCAGATCACCTAGGCAGACCACTCCTCAGGAAGGAGGTACCTGGTGCTTGATAAGATCCACTACTCTATAGCTCATCAATCTGTACTTTTTGAAAGTTGCTTGCTTCAAACCCACCAATAGAAGCCTGCTAAATCATGACTGTATAATTAATAGCCTAAAATGTGTAAGAACCTCTGGGCTGTTCAACCTGGGGGCTCTCTCCTCTTTTTCCCTCCCTGATGATCCAGCAGCAGTCTCGGCTGCGGCTGCCCCTCCTCCTCCAGCCATGCTGGGCTGGCGGAGGTGGCTGGGAGACCTAGGTTAACCTGAATAAACCACCTTTATGTGTTAGCTCGGACTTCAGACTTGACGATTTTCTGGGGATATCAAAATCCGGCACAACATTATTTTTCTCTGTAAAATACACTGTTGACAACAGTGGTTGGTTTTTTTTTTTAATTAATTAATTATTTTTTTTTTTTTCTGCTGGCTCCAAGTTCTTTCATTCTGGTGTCTGCCTTGGAGAACCCTGAGCAGGACACGTGCTTAAGGAAGCAGCTGGGCTGCCTCCTAAGTTCATAGTCAGAACAGGGGGCTCAGCAAGGTGCTTGGAGCTGAAGCTGCTCAGGATTCTGGGGACTTCTCTATTGCCTCCCTCCTGTGCCTAGGGCAGCTTAGAGCACATTAAAATCAGCTTAATCAGCTTCTCACTGGGATAGGCAAGCTCATTTACATGACTTAGCACAGGGGGTGGAGCTGAACAGACAACAACCCAGACAGGCATTGTCACCACAAAGCCAGATACAGCGGGACCTGCACAGACATAGAGACGCCGATGGGTGGCGGGGGGGGCCCAGCAGGCCCCAACCTTGATGACTTGTGTCTCCCTCCCAGGGGCTCAGACAGTCCACTCCTGCGTGGATACCCACTGGCAGGCATGGCAATCATGGTAAGTGGCAGCAGGCAGGCCCCAGCAGTATGCAAAGAGATCTCCTGGACCTCTCTCTGTAGGAAGAGCTCAGAGTAAAAGCAGAATGCTGCTGTACTTGGAGCTGGAGAGGTAGATGCAAAGGCATCCAGCAGCCTGACTCTGCTGAGTCCTAGCTCTGCCATCTACCAGGATTGTGTCCTTGGAGGAACCATGCCTGTGAACTGGGTTTCTAGAACGTGTTCAAGTGGGTATCTTAAGATCAGACGGACAGTCAAGTGAACCTGGAGAGAAGCACTTGCTAGGTAAACAGGGACGCCCATCCCCACCCTCTTCTCCAGGCCATATTTGCATGCAGAAACTTTATAGCACCTCCAGGTTGAAAGCAATCAATGTACCTTTAGGGGGCCCGCTAGCAATGCCCCCACCCACCATCCCACCAAGAGCAGCGTCCAGGCTTCACTCAAGTTCTCGCCTTGTCTTTAGGCAGTAACTTGTGCTGGACACAGCCCTCTGAGCTGCCAGTCCTGTGAACTGTCTTGATAATCATGGTTAGAAGCACGGCTACTTGAAAATTTGCCTGGAATAGTCCAGTTCTGTGGCTTTCTGCCTGCGCTGGGGACCCCAGCCACCAAGCAGCCAAGACTCCGGGAATACTGTTTGGGGATCACTTACTTCTTGTTTCTGTTCTTTCTGGGTTCTTACAAATAGCCACCTGCAAGCTTTACAACTGCTGCTGAGTCTGCACCGAGAAAAGATATTGAAATCTTCCTCCTGGAGTTTCCTCCATCACACCTACAAGAACACCTCTCCAGGATGACCTGCTGTTCTCCTGCAGCCGACAAGCACAGGCGACCTTAATGGAGGCCGTGTAATGCCAGAGAGAGGTACCTGGAACACCTGGATCACACACACATGACCCTAATGTACACAGCTGGTCAGTCCTAGGTGACAGTCCTAGGTCTCCAAGTAGGTGCCCTACCTGCGATTGACAAAGAGAAAATGGAATGTAAGCTCACTGAAGGTTTTAGCCTAGGTTGCACTGGTACTGGGCCCATACTGTTTGGTGTTTGTTGTGATGTAGGTTTGACAGCAGGTGTACAAAGGCAAATGCCAGTGTTTCCTGATTTATACCTATTTTTCTAAAAACTGAGATATTGTAGGATATATTGTTCACTGTTTTTACTAATTTTTTCTTCTTAACAATGGAACCAGTCCTAGAGCAGGCATTTAGCCAGCAGCTAAGAAGCCGGAGTTCATTTCCAAACCCTGGCTCCTGACTCCAGCTTCCTGCTAATGCAGACCCTGGGAGGCAGCCATGGTGGCACAAGCAGTGAATTCCTTTTTCCCACAGGGGAGACCCAGATTGGGTTCCTGGCTTCTGGCGTTGGCCCTGGCCTAGTCCATCTCTGACAGACAGTTGGTAGTGAACCAGCCAGTGGGAGCCGTCCCCTCCCCAGTCTCTCTGCCTCTCAAAACAAAACGCAACCAACATCACATACTCCTTAGGACAGATACTACCAAGAAAAAAAAATAAAAGGAAAGGAAAAGAAACAGCAAGTGTTGAGAAGATCACGGAGAAACTGAAAGCCTGACATTGTAGGCGAAATATAAAATAGCACCAGATGCTATGGATATCAAAATTACCCCTCCTCAAGATATCAAAGACAGAATTAACATGGGATCAAGCACATCTACTTTTAACTCAATTCCCCAAGGACATAACAGTAGAACAGTAGATCTTTTTTATTAATAAAGACTTATTTTATTTATTTGAAAAGCAGAGTGACAAACATATAGTGTGACAATAGAGATCTTCCATCTGCTGATACACTCCCCCAAATATTTGTAAAAGCAGGGTTGGTCCAGGATGAAGTAATGAATCAGAAACTCCACCTCCAGGTCTCTTACATGTATGGGAGGCACCCAAGTATTTGGACCATCCCTTGCTACTTTCCTATGAATCTTAATAGGGAGCTGGATCAGAAGTAGGGCATCCAGGACTTGAACTGAAAATCCAGTATGGGATGCCAATGTTGCAAGTGTCAGCTTAACATACCATACCACAACACTAGCCCCAAAAGCAGAATCTTGAAGAACAGTCGGTCACAATGACATCAGTTTCATTCTTGGTACATCTGATGCAGCCAAAGGCAGAGGCACACAGGGAGGCATCTACGGACTGGCATCTGCACCCACTTTCTCAGGACAGCAACCTAGACGAGTACCAATGTGCTAGACCAGCTTCCAGCCCGTCCCCTCAGAATCAGCTCACCCAATTGTGAACTCAGGGCAGATTCAAGCACTACCCCCACTCCTCGCTTGCCCCATGGTAGTAAACCTTCCCTCCACACAAGAGCCTAGCTTTGGTAGTTTGACCTTATGATGTATACAGGCCACAGCTCTTCACAGTCTGTCTGAAATGTTCCCCTAGAGCAAGTGCAGAGACGGTATGCAAAATGGCAGCAGCTGCCCAGGACTGCGAGTCACTTGGGATGCGCTTGTGTCAGCTTTGCCAAGGAAATGATTTCCAGAGATTATTCACACCCCATTGAGAGTGCTTGCAAGACTACTGAACTACACATAACAAATCACAACTGTGCTGGCGCTGTAGTGTGTGCGTACAGCTGCCATGTGCAAACCCAGCACCCCAAATATATGCTGGTTCGAGTCCTGGTTGCTCCACTTCTGATCCAGCTCGCTGCCACTGTACCTAACACAACAGTAGAAGATGCCCCAAGTGCCTGGATCTCTGTACCCTTGTGGGAAACCCAGATGAAGCTCTTGGCTCCTTGCTTCAGTCTCTCCCACTAGCAGCTGTTGTAGTCATTTAGGGAGAGAACCAGTGCAGGGAAGATCTCTCTCTCTCTAATTCTGACTTTTAAATAAATACACAAATCTTTAAAAATGGTCACAACAATGCTCGCTTCGGCAGTGCATATACTAAAATTGAAACAATACAGAAGATTAGCATGACCCTGCGCAAGGATGGCATGCAAATTTGTGAGGCGTTCTGTATTTAAAAAAAAAATGGTCACAACAGCAAATTCCATGTTGCATAGATTTCACTATTGCCCTACCTCCCTTGCGCATACACCTCACTTCTGTCCCCAGAAAGGAAACCTTCCTTCCAGTGAGATCCATGCTGGCCTCAGGGCAATGCCAGCAGCTGGGCTGTTCTCTCCCCAGACTCCTGGCACGAGCTGGAGATGTTCCTTCCGGTTTCTGTTTCCCTTCCCCATCAGAAGCTGGGCAAAGAGGACAAGTTGGACAGCTGAGGCCCTTTCAGAAAGAAACACGACTGTCTTTGGAAATGAAGGTGACATTATTGATCCCAACTAATAAGGCCTGAGTGAGGCCACCACAATCACCTTCGGCCTCTTTGTGGCCACTGCAAGTGCACCATTCATGTCCTCCTTCTAGAAAGTGCCTGGTGCCTCTTCAGGGAGGCTTGCATGAGCAGATTACAGAATCCCAGCAGGAGCCAAGGACAGCACAGCCATAGTGAGTGTCAGAGACACAAATGGATGGGTAATGGTGATTTATGTGGAGTGGGCAGAGTTAAATCCTTGCTAATGACTGGCTGGGGTTTTGCTAGGAACGTGTGACATCCTGAGCGCGGGTGTGATTTGCCTGCCGGGTGCACGTAGGAACCACAAAAGCACTGAGCTGCTGACAGCCAAGCAACAAATGCCTGGGTCTCTCCCGGGACCAACTGAATGGCTCTGGCTGGAGGGAAAATCCACAAGATCAGAAGATGACCCAGACATCCCTGGCTGGCAGGGAACAAGAGGCTGCCTGGCCAGGGGACAGGAACCTCCACTTGAACCCAGAGAGGAGCTGGAAGAGGAGTCCCGGACCTAGAAGGAAACCTGCGAGCCGCTTCCTTGAGCGCTTCCCGTTGTGTTCCAAGCTTCATGCCTCAGATTTCCAGCCCACACCACAACGCCCATGTCCAAGCCCTCACTGTAATATACTCAAATTAACCAGAACGGTGTCTCCCTCCTTCCCTTCCTGTCTTCTCTAAATAAATCAAAATAGCTCCTAGAGGTAGTCTGGGTTGAAAGCAGGTGGTGTGAGGCTCTGAGGAAAGTGAGGCAGGTACTAGGCAGGTGCTGCATGCCTGCCTCCTGGAATGTATTCTCAGCCTAACATCTCCAAGTACACAGATTTCAACCAGTTTATATTCACTAGGAAAAAGACATCCTCTGCTGCCCAGGGAAGAAAAGCAAGTGACAAAGCCTCATCATCCTTCTTGAGTCTGTCTATAGCTCATCCCCACACAATCTACCTGTCCTCCTCTGGTTCCTAAGCACCTCTTGTTTAGAACAGAAATCTGCAGATCTCACACCTGAGGTTGCCGGGACAACAAGGGCTTGGAGCGCAGGGATGCAGCTGGGTTGTTCGTGTTAAAGCATGGTGCCTGGCAGCTCCAGCCACCCACAAAAGCAGCTGCTCTGGTCCCTTGGGAGTCCTGCAAACAACCTGACCTGGTGCCCAGGGCTGCCAGGGAATCCCCAGCGATGACAAAAGGGGCAAGGAAAGGGGAGTAACATGGATCCTGATTCCTGCACTGTGATGCAAATGCGCACTGGGGCGGGGGGAGTCTTTCCTGCCAGTGGGTTCCCAAACACCATGCTTGGAAAGCAAAGAATTTGTGCCAAGTTCTCCCTAGGCAAGGAAAACAACTGGCTAATTCTTCAGTCTTTTCAGAAAGCTCACCCTGTGAATTGGGGACCTTGGTGACCCTCACAGTCTCCTATTAACAAAAGTGCTGTTTGTTTATGGCTCAGCAGGGAGTCTGCATGCTGCAGAGCCCTGGACTCCTGCTCCACCACACTGGACCCCCGCCTATCTTGGGAAGTGGGGAGTCCTGCCAGCCCCACCTGTCCAGCTCCTCTTCCACGTGGCAGCATTCCCATCTGTTGCATCACACGCCGATGACGCTGGCTGTGCTCTTCTACAAACCTTCGCCAAGTTTCCATTTTCCATTTTCTCTTTCATATGCTGCCCTTGGTCCTCCTCTCTGAGCCCTGCTCCCTGGATGATCTTCCCACAGTCTGCACAGCACTTCCCCCAACAGTCTCTCTCCACCTCTGTCCTGTCCTGGGGTCCCTGCCTACAACCCTCTCCCCACCTCCCTGCCTCTGTAGCTGGAGCCTTGAGATCACTCCCTTAAAGCTGTTTATAAGCATGAGCCTCTTTCTTGGGTGGGATAAGCTGTTTCGTCTTTGATTTTTAAAGTAAATAAGCACACAAACATATGGGCGGCAGTGATGTGGCTTTGAGTATCCCTCCCTCCTGGCTTTAGCTTGTTGATGTTTCTTGAAGCCTGGTTGAGCCAGCCACTCCACCAACAGCCCCAGGAAACACCAGAGCTGGCAGGACAGGGACCCTCAATCCTCACAGACTTCCTCCTTGTTTCCCAGTCCTTCCGGCCTCCTTAGTGTCTCTTTGGGCATTGCCTCCTCCCTCCTTGTCATCGGGAACCACCTGAGGTTCTGCTCTGCCGCCCCTTTCTGTAAACAAATGTATGATCACTCATTTCTGGCTTTCCGAAGTTCCATTATAAATAAGGAGGCTGGAGAGCTCTCTGAGGGTCTGCTCTCCATGAAAAAGAACATTAACGTGATGAAGGCCCAGAGATGAAAAGAAGCCTGCCCTACAACACAGGTTAGGGGGCAGCAGGTACCAGAGACACAGCATAGGAAATGTGTGTCCACCCAGGGCTGCCAATCAATCCCCTCCTGTGGCCAAAACGGGAACCAGCACTGGCTGGAAATATCCACCCAAGATGACCTATGGTCTTTATAATACTGTCATCAAATGTCCATGGCCAACACCCACTCCCATCCTGCACCTGATGCTATGAGACTTCCGGAAATGAGGAGTTCGCCTCGCTCCTGGACCCAGAAATCTCTGCAACCCTGGATAACCCCACCTGGAGCACAATGCCCTGTCTCTTGATCAAGGGATGACCAGCACCTGGCAGGTACTGCTCACTCCAGAGCCCCATATTGCTACCCCTCAATCCACGTCTCAGCCTCTAATTCTTCCATGGGTTGGAAGATGAGAACCTGGACCCCCGAGCCCCCAGCCTCCAGTAGCCTCTCCCACACTTCAGAACTGATACAGCCGATGTTGACCAGAAAGCTGCTTTCTTCTTCAGCCTGGCAAAGGACCTGTTGTTGCTGGGAGAGCTCCTGACCACAGGAGCCACAGGCGGGTAAACCCCAGAGAGCCACTCTTCTCTTCCCAATCATTTCCTTCCCCCAGGGGAGAGCCTGGAACCTCAGACACAGTCACGTTTCCATGTCCCCATAGCCAACAGGCAGAACGCACATCAGTCAAGAGCAAAGCCCTTTAAAAGCCTCGTAAGGCAGCAAATGCCTTCAATAAGTTATCTCCTCCCACCTAGGAGAGAGAATGAGGTTTCAAAAGCTGTCTCTCCGTTAGAAAACACGCTATAATCCGGCTTATTCCATTGAAGGGCGAAAGCATGACGGAGCGGAAGGGTGAGTCCCACAGAGCTGAGTGCCACCCTCCCAGCCCGCTGGCTCCTGACATGCACACAGCTGTCTTCCCTGCCAGGGAGAGGTCAGGGTGTTTGTGTCAGGGGTTTGGGGGTGGGGGGGCTGCCATGCACTTAGAAGCAGAGTGCAGGGTTCTGAGCACCCAGGGGCGGCATGCTGCAGACTTGTCAGCACAAGGGCTTCCCTGAGAAGACATTAGCAGTGTAGACATCAACTCACCTCCCAGGCCACCTCCATCCCACTGGTCTGCTCTCACTTTGTCCCTACAGCACCAATGATTCAAGCCTTGGGTCCTTCCGAGCCCTGTCGTCCTTGCTGCACCCTTGCCTCCTGGTCCTGTCTCTGAGAGTGGCCTTGCGGGTCCTGTTTCTTCTTCTTCCACTGGGAGGGGTCACAGCCCTTTCCCTTCCTCCCCTCATTCCTGCTGTCTTCCAGGAGGACTCCTCTACCCCTCTAACCGGGTGGTCCCAACCTCACACTCCCCACTGGGGTTCCTGAGGCTGCAGAAAATCTGCCTCCATTCCGACTCACCCACAGCCACCTCAGGTTGGCAGCTCCTTTCCCATCCTGTGGCGGTTCCCAGCAGACACCTGCCTGTGCCAGGGCTTTCCCCTGATTCTTTTCTCCCCTTACCTCCTACAGGAAGCCAGTGGAGCCGCCCAAGTGACTCCCTTCTGGGAGCTGCTCATCAATATCAGATGAGCTCTCAGCTTTGGTGCATCACAGGCTTGGGTTGCTGTGCAGCTTCCTCCTGTGGGTTGACTGTCCAATAGGTGCCAGTCATATCAACACTCCTAACCCAGTCCAGAGAACTTTCCCTCTACTCCACCCTTCTGCCCGGGTTCCTTCTGCAGCAGGAAGTGACGTGTCAGGACTGGGGGACTGAGAAACTCCACAAGCAACCATTCCAATCACCACCCATCTCTGGATCCACTGTGTCTCAGCACAGGGTCTCCTGCAGACCTCACTTTTGTCTTTCACACTCTGGCCAATGTGCCTTTGTTTAAGGTTCTATTACCTGGGTTCCATTTTTGGAAAACTAGGGCAGGTTAAGGAGACAGCACAGGCCAGGAAGTTGGGGTGTTAGCAGCCTTGACTGGGTGAAGAGTTCTGGAATGGGAGCCTGGCTGGGGAAGGCAGGGAATGTTCAAAGGGAGATTTGTGTGTTCAAAGGGAGACCCAGTATGCAACCCAGCTTCCAGGAAAGCTGGAAAAGGTGAAGTGTGAGATCAGGTCAGCAAGAGGGCAGGCCACCCAGTATGACTGGGGGAAGGGTCAGAGTCAGGGAGGCTCTGGCAGCAACAGAAAGACCTAGCCATCCCTGGGACAGGGTACAGGGCCAGGACAATCAAACTGGGGCAAAAGAAGGGGTTAATTCCCAGGATCAGAACAGAAGCCACAGCCTTGCCTCTGGTCTTGCACGGCCCTCATCGTATCCCACGGATGTGGACTAGTGGGTATGGGCTCAGGACTGGCTCCAGGGCAGGAAG